CACATTTTACACTGTAACCCAGGACAGCAAGAGGCAGGCGGTGCTCCCTGGTACAAAGCAAGAGCGTACCCTCTCTTCCCACCGCCTCCCCCAGGCTGACACTGCCCTTCCTGGCGTCGCTGCTCCGCAGGAGGACGTGATGCCCGGTGGACCCGCTCAGCGGGGCACGCGGTGGTCCTCCTCTCTCCTTTGCCGTACGAGCGTGCGGGGAAGGCTGTGAAGCCGCCACGCTCTGCATGGCGATGCCTCTCCAGCAGCAGCAGAGCTGGGCTGGGCCCCCTACACTTGGGAAGAGGGCCCAGAACGGCAACGCCTTTAACGCAGGGACGTAAAGGTCAGTTCAGGATTTATATCGGCGCACAGCAGACAGACTGTCTTACTTTTTCCGAGTCAGTTCCCTAGAAACACCAGGCGACACTGAAAAAATGGCGGTGTTGCAGCAGTAGGCTGCTTTCTCCTTTGTGTTGTTCATTCACTCTCTTCTCTACTTTGATTCCTGATGCCAAATAAACTTAGACCTAGGCTTAAAATGCCAGAGCCCTCGTAAACGCGTGGAGGGAAGCCAGCACGGTGGTTTCTGTCAGTATTGGCTGAGCCTGGGACCTCTAGGAGTCACAGAAACCGTGTGTGGACCAGCCCCCAAAACTCAGTCTGCAAACACAGAACTGTGTGGGTGATTCACGCACGAATAACGTGATACAGGCATGTAGGGCCACCAGCTGAAGGGAAAATGGTGGGGGTCGTGGGGCGGCTCAGGTGCATCCCTGCTCGTGGAGCTGGATCCTGAGCAGGAGGCATTTCTCTCCCAAGGCTGAAAAACGCCCTTCCCTGGCTGTGGAAGGAAACACAGGGACATCACAACAGCAGGTCCAGACTTGATGGTACGTGATGGGAAAGACACGGAGTTGAGGGAAGCCCGGCCTGTCACCTGGAAGGGGCAGGGTGCTAAGGCACTGGGGTTGCTTCGGGCAAATTCCCTCTGTCTCTGTGTGTGTGTGTGTGTGCAGACACATCCCTGCAAGTGGTTTTGCCAAAATTTTGGAGACATTTTTCCCCCAGTGCCTTTTTCCCGGGGACTGGGTTGCCACTTCAGCTGGAAAGACCAGCGCTGACACTTCCCTGGCCTGACTAACTCGGCGCAGGACACGTGGCTTTACTTCACATGGTCATTTCCTCACTGTCCTTTTTACAGCCGCCCGGTTTTCATCTCCACGGTGTCTTCCCGCAGCGCTCGGTTAACCCCACGCCTTGCCTTGTCGGCTGCACGGGCTGACCCTGCCTTCCCCTCCCTGCTCCCAGAGAAGGGGCTTGGGGACGAGGTGAGGCCGATGGCTTTCTGAGGCAGCACAAAATTATGCCCAGGTCATGCTCCAGTGATTTTTTCAGGTGCTGCAGCCGCTCTCACGCCTCCCTGTCTGTATTCAAGTCCGTCCTAAAGACTCAATTTTCAGTGAGAAATGAATTACCCCTTTTGCTCATTCCCCGAGTAGTTACTTGCTCTGAATTTGCCCGTTTCTCAACCTGTTGTATTATCTTTTAGAGTGTGATTTTCAAGGCATTGATTTCTGTGAGGCATGATTCCTTGCAGAGGACTTGAATGGTAAAATAGAAAGCTTCAGCCCTGCATGGAGCCAGACAGGCCTTTTAAGATGACGGAAATTTGGACGGGACTGAATCTGACAGAAATTTTAAGATGACGGAGTTGGGAACCAAAACGGCTCGTTTATTTCTGTAAATAGTGGTTTGTGTGTGCAGAGCTGCAGCGGGCCCAAGGCCGCGTTTCTCCTCTCCCCTTCAGCGCCGCGATGCTCCCCTTTAGTCACGGAAAACGAAATCAATATTCCTTTTCTAGCTCATGTACTTGTTATTCCAACCAAATTGCAATAAGCTGCTGCGACTCTCTGCATTACTGTGCACCTTCTCATCCATTAGCTCCCTCCGAAACCTCCGCAACCTCCCGCCAGCAAGAAGAGAAAGCGAGTGAGCGATGACGTGCCCGAGTGCAAACCTCTGAAGCCGTTGCTGAGCGGCTCCATTCCCGTGGACCAGTTTGTGCAGACCCTCGAGAAGGTGATAAGTCTTCGGTGGCAAGCGAGGGTCAGGCGGATTTCTCCTCGTCTCAGCAACGTGCCTAGCGGGGAGAGGGGAAATCATTTTAGCGTAGCTTGAAGTGGAGAGGGGCTGGTGAGACAGCAGAGTGCTTCAGGGAACGCGTGTCCCTGCGCTGAGCGTGGAGGGGATAGTTCCCTGTGGAGTCCTGTCCTGATCGAGGGGCTTCGTGTCAGTCGTTCCCTCCTGGTTCCCCGCAGAAGCAGAGCTTTTGGGGAGGGTCACTCTGGGCGGGTGAATTGCCCCCCCATGCAACTTTTGGATTCACCACCTGATTTCCAATAAATTTTAACAGCAGGGAGGAGGTCTCTGAAGTATTTTCAGTTAAGTTCCTCCAAGTTTTGTGAAAATGAAGTGACCTGAGTGAAGAAGAGATCCTGGAGATGTCTCTGCTGATGGAGAAGCTTTCTGGGGAGCTGCAGGACAGGGGGCTTGGTGGCTGAACTTGCAGGCTCTGGGGAGCCCTGTTCTCGCCTGCACGACCCCTTGGAGGAAATTAGCAGGAAAAAGGGCAGGATTGTCTGAGAGGAAGCTTGCCCTGGGGCTCAGTAGCTCTCCACCAGCATCATCTTTGAGGCAGGTGGTCATTTCTGTAGTTAAAGGAGCCATTTGTCCTCAAGATTTTGCAATTGCCGTGACCCAGTGTAGTGGAAAAGGCTGGTTTAGCCTCCCTGATCCGTGTGTGTGTATGTGATGAGGGGCGTGTTTAGCTTAGCCTGTGCGTGCTTCCTCCTCAAATCCCCGAAATCTCGGGTATCTGCAATGGCACTCTGTATTTCTTGGCCATTCTCCCTTCTCTGCCCTAGTCTTTCACCCCTGCCTGAGTTGTAGTAACTTCTCT